TATTGGTTACTCCTCTGTCCATCACTCAGATACACGGACCAAATACCCTTGACTCTGCTCGAGACCCTGTAGAAGCCAATACCAGTCTCTATTATATCAGACCAGGCTTGTATCCCTGAGGGCACCGTAAAAACCCCCACAACCTGGGCCCCTCGGTTCCTTTCCTCCTTATCCATCAGAAATACACTACCAAACCACCCCATCACCCGGTGTAGCTAGAAGACTTAGTGTCTTGGCATCACCGCGGCTGACACAAGATGCGCAATGACGAGCTCGATGGACACACACCGTTTGAAGCTCTCTTGCATCAAATCCACAAACACCAATTTTACTTCATGATGGACAGTGTTGAAGGTCACATGACCTCATTCTTTTTTGCTCACCCCTGTTTGCTCGAATTGGTCAAAAGACTTCTGAGAACCATCCTCCTTGATTGCACATATAAAACCAACAAGTACCGCATTCCCCTTCTGCATGTCCTCGGAATGAATTCCTGTAATAGGTTGTTCACTGTTGCTATGTGTTTCCTCTCGGCCAAAAAGGAGGCAAATTATATGTGGGACCTGGAGCAGCTTCTTCTAGCAATGAACAATCAATCTCCCTCAGTCATTGTCACCAACCACAAACAAGCAGTCATCAATGCAATTAAGAAAGTATACCTCAACACCACCCGCATCCTCTGCTCTTGGCACATATTCAAGAAAATCAAAAAGAATTGCCGGAAGCATTTCAGCAGAAAAGAGAAATGGGAAACATTTGAATCAGCATGGAAGCAATTGAGGCTGTTTCCAACTTTGAAGGAGCACAAGGAGAATTACACCAAGCTCTCCAAATTGTGGAATCCAGACACGGCCGCCTACTTGATCACAGTAGTCCTTCCTCTGAAGGAGTACTTTGTTGCGTACTTGATCAATCGGCTCCCACACTTTGGAAATCACATCACCTCCAGAGTTGAAAGTCTGCACGTGTACATCAAAAAATTCATCAACACATCAACAGGCTCCTTTGCGGCAGTTTTCAAGCAAATTCACCGGGCCATTGACAGCCAGCTCCATGAAAGATACATTGAATCTGTGCAACATCATTACAGAAGACTGACCGGCCAGCTGCCTCCTTTGATTGCCAATCTTAACCGAATCATATCTCACTTTGCCTTGAAGATTGTTCATGTGTCTCACATGGCCAAGGCTCCAAAATCCACATGCACTGGTAACTACTCGGCTCACATGGGTATTCCATGCATCCATCAAGTCCACAACGCCAAAAGCGAGGGGAGCAAGTTCACTTCTGATGATTTCCATGCTCAGTGGCACGTCAAAACGGATTTAGACGTAAGTACCTCATATTTTTATCATCAAGAGGATCCAAACAAAATTTCCCCGAGGTTTCTGATTTATTTTGTTCATGATAATTTGACAGGTGGAACTCAGTGAAAACCAAGACGCCACGGAGACACAGCAGAAGAACCATGAAGACGTATTCCTCAGTGAAGTATTTCAAAATTTCCAATCACTTCAACCTGGCAAACAAGCCCTCATGGTTGGCAAAATCCACAAACTCCTTGATGGAACACATGCTGCCACCATTGCACTCGATGAACCAAGGTTTGATAAGAACCATCAATTCAAGCGCCGAGCCAAAGGCTCCAAACGCAAACACAAATTGACGTCTTCAACCAAGAGGGACCCATCTGGATTTGAGTATGTTGAGGGGCAGAAGAAGAAACAAGGCAGGCCAAAGAAGGTGGCCAATTGGACAAGGGGCCCAAGCGCAAACCTGGGCGACCAAGGAAAAAACCGACCAAAAAGGATGAGACGAATGAGTCAGAAGTGTGCATTGCTTATTTCTATCTGAATATTTTTCCTGCTTCTGATTAATTTTTGAGTAAGCCATGGAAACAGACAAAGAGAGAGAGGAAAATCCTTCAGATGGAATTGGAGCCCTTTGTGAAAACATATTCACCGATGAGGAGCATTTGGAAGAAGAACCCAAGCCACCAACTGTAACAAAACCCTTGCAAATTAGTCCAATCAAATTATTCAAGCAAAAACCAGAACCCATCACCAAAGCAGACAAACCTGACAAAACTCTTTTGAGCGAGGCACTTACTTGGAGTACACAGAAGAATGTGGATATTGATCTTGTGAGTAACTCATTGTTATGAGCTGTGGAGGACTGGAACTGGGGACATTACATATGCAGAACACTCATGTTACCATGTACTTACTTCTTTTTCTCATTGTTCAACCCCTCTGTTTCCCTCTTAAACTTCTGTTAGTATGAATACAAGGACAGCATCAAGCCGGCAGGAGTCATTCCCCACATTTTACATGTTAACGACGTTAAAGGCAATGGAAATTGTGGCTTTTGTGCGGTTGCAGTCAGCTTGGGGCGCAAATCTGAAGAATGGGACTTAATCTGCGAAGAAATGCAGAAGGAGTTCAACTCAAACAAGGCCTATTTGGATGAAAAGTTCTTGAATAATGTATGGGGAGAAGAGGAGGACAGAAAAAACTTCATTGATTCTCTCGCATGGAGAGACAAGGAACAGCAAGCCCCCCTGAAGTACTGGATGACGTCCCCCACCTGTGGATATTTAATAGCTGATACATACCAAAGATTGGTTATTTTATTATTGGAAAAGATGCCTGCCACTTATCTTCCTCTTTTGCATACTCCAAGAGACAACCCACTCATCTGTCTGATCCTTTTACCTGACCATTCTCATTTCATCACTTTCACTTTCAAGGCTGAAATATGGCCATGCCCCAGGATCAATACATTTTTGAAACACTATGTCAGTGATGAAGCGCTGGGTTGGGAGGATTGGATTCAAGCCCACATTGATCTGGGTCAAAAATCCTTGTACCCACCTTTCAGAAGATCTTAGTGCTTCAAAAAGGCTCCTGTTGAAGTTGATTAATTTTTTTCATTACTGTTCTCCGTACCTTCCTCTGATTTCCTGCTTGTGTCCCTCTTCTCATTTTAAAATCTAAACTACGCTCGATTATGCCCACACTCTTTTGTAAATCCAAATTTGGCCTCACTAGAATATTATAGCATTTTTTGCCTTTTTCCATCGATAAATTCAAGTTTGGAAGGTTGAATAACCACCGGGAACTTTCCACAGTGCTTGCATGAATAAAATGAGTGGGAGCAAAAATTAAGATTAAAAAGAATAATTTTTATGAAGAATAAATTCTAGACCTTTCAAATTGTAGGAAACAAATTTACAATGTCAAAAAAGAATGAAAAACAAGCCGCTAACAATTAATTGAAAAAATGAGTGGGAACAAAAATTGCAATGCATACAAATTATTTTTATGCAAAATAAATATTACCAATGAATTCTGAACCTTTAAAAGTGTAGGAAACAAATTTACAATGTCAAAAAAGAATGAAAAACAAGCCAGTAACAGTTAATTGTTAAAATGAGTGAGCAGAAAAAAATGAAAGTCATGTTTATGGTCAATGGACTTTACCATTAAATTATACACCTTTCATAGTGTAGGAATAAATTTTAAAAATTTGAAAAAATTTGAAAAATAAGCGGTAAAAGATTAAATAAAAAACTGTGTGTACAGGAAGAATCTGTGTGTGCTGTGCCGCAGTGAAACCGTGTGTTTTTATTAACGCCCATCTAAAAAAGCTAGAAAAATGTAAAAATCTTTATTTTTTTTACAGGATTTCCCTAAAATTTACAACATTTCCCATCTGGGAAATCATGTCAGGGATGATGTGTATATATATATTGGAATTGTTGGATGGATGATGAGTTTGGATTGGTGGGGTGTGGCACATGTGACAATAGCAGTTTGACCAATGTTGATGATAAGAAGACTGTTTGAGGTTTACAAAGCGGAGGTGTAAATTTACCAAGTGAGGACGACGGAAGCACATATTAAGAATTTTAGAGATATGCTTTGTAAAAAAAAAACTGTGAGACCCGCAGATCCAAGGGGAATTCCTCCATTAGCCTCTTCAGTTAAGTCAATAGGTTAAATTTCAGACATTGTCTGCTTTTAGATTGTTCCGCATCCCTAGCTTTTCATGTGGTTTTAGTGAGTTTAACTACACAGCTAATGTAGCCCAGGTCCATGGGTTTGTTGGTTGGGCAATGTTGTAAAATGATTTTGTTGCCCGCCTCTATTGACAGGATCAAAAAAGTAGATCTATTGATTGTTCTGCATCAACACCACCATAAAGCCTACATGATCACCATGGCTGAATAGTGTAAACTGTTGTTGAAATCTGAGCACCCTGGTGCACAAACATGTCTCCCTTCAGACCAAATGTCATGAACTGACACAAGAGTCAGAGCAAATGACATCATTTCCGAAACAACCTTAGCAATCAATGCACTCCTTGTGCATTGACCGCAACATTCTCGCCTTCTTAAACCTCTCCCTTTCCACTCAAATCATCTCTTTCTCCCCCGTGGAACTTCAAGGTCAAACTTTCCTTGACATTATAAACATCCAAAAAATCTAGTTCCTCCACTCAAAGATCATAAAACGTCAACATCATCCTCACTCGCATCTTTTGCGCTCCTTCCTCTGACAAACATCAATTTCACATGTATTTGCATTCCTTGACTTAAAGCACTCCCCTTTCCTTTTGACCTTACCGCCACAGACTTTTGTGCTTCCCTTCCATTTGACCTATCGCTGATCAGTAAATAAAGAACTTCAATTCTCTCATCACAGTAGGTTCCATAACGCTTTCATCTGATCTCTCTTGTCAGATCAAGTATATTGACATCAACAATCATCATTGCTTTTTTTTTCTTTGAAACCGCACTTCCTGTTGTTGCTCTCTTCTTTATATTGTCACACTTGCCTTCAGGTTAGGCTGTTTCCTTTTTTTTATTTATATATGTATTACATTCTTTGCATTTTGCTTATAAGAAATACATAACACCTTTAGTTTGATCATTCACAGATTTACAGTCTTGATTTCTCTCACAAACAATTCAATCTCTCTCAAACTCAAGGAAAACGATGGAAAAAGAAGAACATCATCATTTGGTCAAGACCAAGTCCCTCTTGCCAATCCTTAATGTGGAAAACTACTCCTCCTGGTATGGACGTATGAAGGTCCATCTAAGAGGCAAAGATCTATGGAATGTTTGTATCACCCGTCTCCTGGTCAAACTAGCTCCCTCTGTTGCTGCCATAGCAAAACATGCTAAAGCAATCAACAAAGCAATCACAATCATCATCCCAAGGCTCAACTCCCACTGCTACAGAGAGTGCGTGAATTCAACAACCATGGACGACTCATTCCTTTTGTGGCAACAACTTGCCAACCAATATGCTTCCCATTCAGTCATAAATCAGGGAAGAGTATTCATGAGCTATGCAGCTCTTAATTATGATGGTGATCTTCAAAAATACATTGACACGACTCCGAAGTCACTCATCGACATGGATACTGTGGATATGACAATGCCAAAGAAGATTACTTCTTATTTCATCCTTGGAAAACTGATGAACCGGGACTTGGATCAAGTAGTCAACAAGACGGCATTCAAACCAGAAGTCATGATCAAGAACAAACTTATGGAAACTCCTCACGGGGGGGGGGTTGATAAGCGCAAGCCAACCCCCCTTGCGCACACCAAACTGCACGCCAGCTGCAGATTGGCGTGTGCGCCTGCACGCCATTGCAGAATAGTGCAAGCTTTGCTCAGCCCTCCGCTGTTGTCACTCAACCCTTCCCCAAACTCCTTTGTTATTGATTCCGCTGCGTCTCACCATATTAGAGATGGCACTTTGGCACCTGTTGGGGGGTACCTGCCACACTTCAGATCAAGCCCTCCACACAATGAGAGTGCCACACAGACCGGTCTGGGCAGCACAGTCTCACCAGAGAGGCTTATGCATAAACACACCAAGTAATGGGATTTCGGGGCCTCTTTCATATATCTCCCTTCCATCTCATTCTTCTCCAGTTGGTTTTCCTGTTCTCTCACATCTGACAGATTTTTTCTTCTTCTTTAAATTGTATTTCCATACCATTTGTTCTTTTTTTTTAAAAAAAAAGGAAATTCTTGCATTGTGCAGGCTCGAAGGATTCATAACCATACTTACTGAGAATGAGAGTTTCAGTACTGTTCCAACCACCCAAACCTCTGAAAAGTCCAAAATAATGAGCTTGTCAATGATTGGAAGTACATACATAATTTCTCTGCTACAGAACTTACAAACAAGTTTTATGCAATTGAAAAAAGAAAGAAAAATGTAGATCTTTGATATACTCATGGACCTAAAGATTAAATGAAACGAATGAGTGGTGGGGCAAACCACCAAAAATCCAAATCCTGCACTTGCCAAAAAAGGTGTGACCCCAGCTTTGCACCCAGCCAGTTACACTAGCTAGCCTCCCACAGCTGGGCAAGTTTGTGGTCATATGTTTTCTTCAATCTATATGCAAGACACATTGATTGGTTGGTTAGTGCTAATTTTGATCAATTAATGAGTGTTTTTTTTGGTTGTGGATTGTGGTTTTACATGCTGATCTGGATGCGAGGATACAGAACCTACAGCAGACGAGAATCTAAGATTGACATTTTTTTGTTCTATAAAAAAGAGATGGATGGGGGAAGAGTCAGGATGTAAATGGGTCGGGTCGGCCCGGTACCAACCCGAGACCCGTCGGGTTTTGGGCCGGGTTTGGGCAGCCTACACATCCAAAAATCAATTCCTGACCCGACCCGGGAAGACCCGGTACATAATCGGGTTCGGGTTTGGGCAGGGGTCTCTTATTTCGGGCCGGCCCACGAACCCGGCTCACAATTTGTTTTGGACAAATTTCAGCCTACAACAGCCGCTTGCTAGACTACTGCGGCACAGTATCGTTAGAGATGTCACGTCCTGGACAGTGGACTCCTGTCGTGCCAACTGTCCACCGCTCAAGCTTTGCAAAACCCAAGGCCAGCCGCCAGCCACCCCAGTCACAACTCACGACTCCGACTCAGTCACTCACCTGCTTCCACGATGCGACAATCAAAAAGAATAAAACCGACAAAGCGGAAGGGAGAAACTTTGGTGTCAGATGATGAAGCAGACGAATCTGACTTTCAAGTCACTCAACAGTCTCAACCCTCCGCTGCAAGTGCAAGTCAGACTGATACAACTACCCCGGGCCTCTTGAAACGTAACCGCACCGAAAGCGACACCATCGATCCCTCCAACAACGAAGCAGATGACACTGAAAATCCAACAAAGAAGAGGAAGGGGACTAGCGACATCTGGGAACACTTCACAAAGAAGGGAAAAGGTGAGTTTGAACTTTGAACTACTCGCTATACACATTCTTTTTTTCATTTCTGACTCTCCCATCTTTTATTTTCTCAGGTGAAGATGCTCGTGCTATCTGCAAGTATTGCACGCAGGATATGGACGCTAAGAGTAAGAACGGGACAAATTCGTTGTGGCGTCACCTCGGTCGATGTGGTACATATGCATCAAAGAGCAAGCAGAGCTTGCTCAAGGTCAAATCTGGCGATAGTTCATCTACTTGGATATTCTCTCAGCAAGCGTCGCGCGAACTCTTGGCCAAGATGATCATTGCTCACGAACATCCATTTACGTTAGTTGAACAAAAATTGTTTCGAGCCTTCCTGGAATCGTTGCAACCAAAGTTCAAATTGATGAGCCGTGGCACTATCCGGACCGACATGATGTCGATATACGAATCAATGAAGAAAAAACTGAAGGTTGAGTTATCAAAGGTGGATCGACTTGGCTTGACAACCGATCTCTGGACGTCATCGAACCAGACGCCCTTTATGGTTGTATCGGCTCATTATATTCATGATTGGACGCTTAAAAAGAAGCTTATTTCTTTTAAGGAGCTTCCCACTCCTCACACCGGGGTTGCTATTGCCGATCAGCTTATCGCAACCATCGTCGACTGGAAGATATTAGAAAAGGTCGCATCAATTACTGTCGATAACGCGTCCTCAAACGATGTGGCAATTGCGCGGGTGGCATCAATTCTTTCGACTCGAAGCAGTACTCCTCCAGATATGAAGGGTCAATATTTTCACATTCGGTGTGCGGCGCATATAATCAACCTTGTCGTAAAGGATGGCCTCAAAAATCTATCTGCCGCCATCAATAAAATACGAGATTGTGTCCGATATAGCAAGAGTAGTCCTTCTCGAAAACAACTTTTCAAGGAAGCAATCGATCATACAAACATGAAACGTCAAGCTCTTCCATCAGTTGATGTCCCCACACGATGGAACTCAACATATCTAATGCTGCAATCAACACTCCCGTACAAGGAAGCTTTCGAGACGCTCGCCGTGAAGGACGCGAACTTTACTAATTGCCCAACCTTTGAGGAGTGGGACGAATTATCCAAGATGACTGAATTCTTGAAGATTTTCAACACAGGTTAGTTTTTCCTTTCTTTTTTTCATGAATCAATTTCTGACTATGTTCTAATTCCTGAATGTCTCCATTCCAGTAACTTTGAAGCTAGGAAAGACCCATTACCCAACTGCTCACATCATCTACAAAAACATGAGGAAGATTGAACGGCAACTCAAAGAAAGCCTCGACTCTGGCCCATCTTACGTAGTCAACATCATCCGACCGATGCAGGAGAAATTTAACAAGTATTGGGAAAAGATGAAAAACTTTGCTTCTCTCAACGAAGCATTTGACCCTCGTTGCAAATTGGAGCGCATCGGTTTCACACTCTCAGAAGAACTTGGCGACATCGAGGCTGAAAGTCAAGTTGGCCAAATCAAAGCCAACCTCTCGTGTTGGTTCAACGAGATGATGACTTCTTTACACAAGACAAACGATGCTAGTCCCAAAGGTGGCCAATCCGAAAAACAAGCAACTTCAACATTGATGGAAGACGATGAAGATATGCGCTACAAGAAACACCTTGCTAAGAAGCAGGCTAGTCAAGCTGTATCTACTACAGCTGAGCTAGACCTGTACCTCCAAGAACCACCTGTGACAAGCAACTCCGATCAATTCTCGGTCCTCGATTGGTGGAGGATGCACGAGGCCAAATTTCCTACTCTGGCCATACTAGCTAGACGAATATTGATGAGTCCGATGACTTCAATTGCATCGGAGTCGGCTTTCTCCACAGGCGGCAGAATCCTCAACGATTACAGAACCAGGATGAAAGCCGACACACTCGAGGCATTGGTGTGCGCCCAGGACTGGATCCGTGGCGATGTAGGAATCCATGATGATGATCAGGAGGTTGAAAACGATGAGATATTAGTAATCGAATGAATTATGAGGCAGTCGGCCCCCAACCCTCCCTCCCCCCTCTTTTCTCGCTTTATGATTTATCGGTATCCCCTCCTTTTCTCTATGCTTTATTTTTTTATTTTATTATTCTTTTTTCCTTTTTTTTTACTATCCATACATGATTTCTTTTTTTCTCTATTATTCAAATATGAAAAAAACTTGGTTATCGCAAAAATTATCCGGGTTCAACCCGGACCCGACCCGGACCCGACTCATGGAATCCGGGTTCGGGTTTGGGCACAAGTTTCCCAAATTTGACCCGACCCGGCCCAACCCGTAATGCTCCCCGGGTCGGGTTTGGGCACTGTTTTCAGACCCGAACCCGGCCCATTTACATCCTGAGGGAAGAGACATCTACAATTAACATCCATACATAAAAAAAAACCAACAACAACTATGTATGTGATGTGTACATCTTATGAAGAAGTACATACAGAGAAAAGATGAAGTGTTTTTTTTATTGTAGATATATATGTATGTAAAGGCTTTTATATGTTGCAGGAGACATAAAAAAAGAAGGAGAGAGGAAAAGAAGAATAGATAGATAGAACGATAAAAAATAACAGACCATATAAAGTCGTCGAAAACAAACCGAATTCTGGCCAAAAAAAAGGGATGATCAAACCAACCAGTAAAACAACCAACCAACAAAAAAAGAAGAAAAGAAAAGGGATCTAGATGTAAGCAAACCTAAAAAAGGAGAGGGGAAAAAAAATTTAAGAAGGATGATCGACATGCAGAGGGATGAGTTGAGAGGCCGAAGAAGACGCCGGAAGTGGCGGACTAGGACGATGTAAGAAGGCGGCGTTCGAGAGAGAAGACGAGGGAGCCAAATTATTACTATTAGAAGAAGGCGACAGCTCAGGCTCGATGGCCGAGCGGTCTCTGATTTCGAGAAGATGATGATGATGATGATGATTGTAAGGATGCGAGGTGGGGAGTTTATGGGTAGGGTCTGAGGAATGAGGGGGAAGAAGAGGGAGAAGATCGGTGTCGGGAGCGGAGGAGACTCGAGTATGAAGGGAAAGATGATGGTGATGGCGTCGGTCGTCGAGGATGAGATGGTCGTCGATGTCGGCGGAGGGTGAGCCGTCGAGGAGCGGGTTGTATGCGGCTTTAAGGTCGCGAGGGGCCGAAGAGAGCTCGGCCCATTCGAGCCGGACAAGGATCCAGATGGCGCGTCTGAGGAGCTCGAGGGCTTGGAGGAGGAAGCTCAACTTGGGTCCGGAATGGTGGCTGGTGGTGAGCAGGGCAATGATCCAGGTGTGACGAAGCGCTAGGTTGAGGACGATCACCGCCACATATATCCACCACCTGTCGCCCGGGAAGAGCAGTCTGTTGGGCGCCAGTCCACTCGGGCTTGACGGTGCTAGTTCTTCTTGTTCTTCTTCCAGATCTGCTTTCCGATGGACCTGATGATAGTGATGATGATGGGGGTGATGGTGATGGTGATGAGAATGATGATGATGGTACCAGGAACGGATCTGAGAGAGGGAGATGCCCCAGTCATTGACGATGTCCCAGTACGACGAGTAGAGCGAGTTGAGCAGACAGGCCAGCACCCACCCCTGCAGGATCTTTGGGCCATCTTGCATCATTCCCACTGCTTCCGCCGAGATCTCTTCAGCGTCTGCTTGCAAACCCCGGCGCGCATCCTCCTGGCTTAGCAGTCTGTTGTGCATGATGATCATCGGGATCGCCGTCGAGTATTTCAGCGCGTTTAGCCCACAGCGTAGCTTGTTGTTGGGCCCCACAATCAGATCGTTCATGCATTGTTGAAGCGCAATAGATACGGTAATCTGGAAGTTCATAGACACGCACACATCAGAATTCTTTGGCGTATGTTTTTTTTTGAGAAGTGAGTCAACTTACGAATTAAAGAAGATAGAGAGGGAAGATTGCAAGCTGGGATGGAGATGAAGTGTAGTGGCGCAGAGCAGAGCAAGATCGGCGAAAGGGCGAGCGAGGGAGGTGAGCAGATCGGCGATGATGAGGTCGGGGAACCTAGTGAGCCGCTGCGGGGAGCGTTCGAGAGCGAGGATCCTGCGGAGCGCCTTGAGGAGTTTGCGATGGCCGTTACGGAAATGGGCCGAGAAGGGCGCGAGTCTGGATGGATGGACGAGCAGGATGAAGGCTGGGATGGAGGCAAGGAGTGGGGCATGGGCGGGTGGGATGAGGAGGAGATGGATGAGGAGTTGGTTGGTCAGTAGGCCGAGTAGGATGGTTATCAGTAGTGAGAGTGCGCCGTAGTAGAGTTGCTGGTGTGTTGATGTTGTTGTTGCTGTTGCTGTTGTTATTGTTTTGTTGTTGTTGTTGGTGATAGCAGTTTGCTGTTGTTCTTGTTGATGGTAGTAGTAGTAGTTTAGGCTGATGGCAGTTGATGTGATGCTGAGTTGGATGAGCGAGAGTATCCTGAATGGCTGAGGGAAGTGTTCTTGTTGTTGTTGTTGGTTCATGTTCAAGTTTGTGTTGGGTACCAGCGCAAGTTCAGCCAGCACTGCTATTTATAGGGGAGTACAATATAGACCCCCCGGGGGAAAAACGATCGGAGTACTTTACATAATCGATCGACATCCCACTGAAGAACACCTCACTTGCAGTAGTACCAACACTGAAACAGCTACGCTTCGCTGCAAAAAGCGCCAAATTAGCGGAGCGCAGCGCCGACCCGCTATTCTAATGGCAGAATAGCGAAAGCGCAAGCGGCTTTGCGCTGAAATGAGCGCCAGCGTAGTGGTCAGACCGCTACTGCAAATTCACCCCTCATGTAGCGCAGCGGCTTTTTTACCGCTAACGCTGTAAAATAGCGGAGCGTCAGCGATGTAGCGGCTAATGCGCTTGTGTTTTCTGTTATCGTAAGTTAGCGGCAAAAGCGCAGCGGCATGCTGCGCTTCCATCCGCTATTGCTCCTGTTGTGACCCACAAACCCGCCCTTTTTTTCACGGTGGAGGATATTTTGGCTATCCACAGACATACATATTAAAAAGGCTGTGGACAGCCATATCATCAAACATACCCCACACCCTGACCCTCCCTATAGGGATCCACACTCACTTTCAAATGGCCAGTCGAGAGGCCACTCCCCTGCCAGATAGCAGTAACCAGAATCTCATCTCTAGTACTACTCCTTCCCGCCCCCCACCTCAAGTCCCCATCCGCCAATCTGCCCGAAAGAAAGTCCCAATAGTAACCCCCGGGTTTGTTCCAACCAATTCTGATTCTCGTAGGGCACTACAACTCCAAACAAATACTAGTACCAGCTCCACAGCAACCGATGTGGACTCAACTCCAAAGGGGTCCAGGGCTACCAGAGTGATTATTAATACAAGCAACTCAGGATCTGGAGCTGAAGTGGTGAGATTTCTACCAACATATCTCTTTCATATAATATATGCTTAACATATGAAGTTATATTTATTTTTTGAATGAATAATTTTATTTTTAGCAAAACACTTTGAGTCAAAATAAATCACAGTCACACGCTCAATCAATATACAACCTCACTCAAGATTCAGACACAGAAAACGAGAAAGCAAAGGGACGATCTGTTAAAAATAAGGCCGATAAAAAGATAGCACCACGGAAGGATGGGACGGATAGTGTGCTAGTATATTTCAAACAAATAGAAGATTCATTGACTTACAGTTGCATTTGGTGCTCCAAGCTTGTCAAAGCATCGACTTCATCGTACTACAATCTCAAGATACACCGTGACGGCTCCAACAACAAAGGAACCATCCAAGGAGCGTGCCCAAATCGGTCAAAAGCTATTTCATCCGGTTGCAATCTACCCCTATCTGCTGCTGAAGAAGCTAATTCTAAATCCAATCAGAAATCGGGGACGGCTATGGCTAATTACGTAACCAAGGGCCGATACGATAACAACACTCTCAACAAATTGTTAGTTTACTGGCTCATTGAGCATTCTCTACCATGGTCACGATTTGAGGATCGAACGCTTCGTATTGCTCTGGATTATGTCGATTCAAACACCAAACTCAACTCGCGCACATGGGCTTCACATACCGCCCAGATATTATATCTCAGTCTCCAAGAGAAAGTGTTAGATGATATCAAAGTAAGATACCTTGACATCATTTGAGTTACGCTACTAGAGAACAACCATCGGCTGATGCTGATTGCTTAACTGTGTATCTTATTTTTAGAACTCCGAATCCCAGATCAGCTTAGTGTCGGATGTGTGGACAACCAAGGGCGGGCACAAAGCGTTCTTGGGAATTTCAGCATGTTACATCACCAAGAACTGGGAATATCGATCGATGCACTTATCAATGAAATACATCTCTTGGCATCACAAGGGGGTATATCTTGCCGCACCTTTTGCAAGGGTTCTTACCAAGAATAATCTTCACAAAAAGATAAGTCCTTTCATCTTTCAAGTTAAGACTATGCCACCAAGAACTCGATTCACAAAACTCACCTTTGTCTATCTTTGATTACATCTTAGCAAAAACAACTGACTCGGGTTCAAATAACTTAACCATGATTAAGGAGCTATCTCGATTGATCAAAGAACACGATAACACCCACTGGGATCCCTCGGTCAACCATCAAAGATGCTTTTGCCACGTGCTAGCTCTCATACTGGGGGCAGGACTTCGAGCGCTCAAGTTATCAACAGCCGAAGGACCAACATCAAGCAAACCCGAGTCATTTCCCACCCTTCCAACAATTGACGAGGATGGCGAACCACTTGATGGTGTGATGGATAACTCCTCAGGAGAAGAACTTGATCCTCACAATGTTGCCGAGGGAAGTGAGTTGGAGGGTGAGTCCGATGAAGAACTGGACCATGAACAGCAAAACAATCCCAACAATGAAGCTCAAACCAACACCAAAGGCTCAAAGGCGAAGTATGCGAAAACCGGAATTGGCTTCACATTATGCAAGGTAGATTTGATCCTCTGATTCCAGCCTTGAACATGATTTGCACTAACAGTCTTCTTGCACACAGATCGACTATGTATGTTGTTGTATTGCCAGTTCCTCAGCCAAACAAGCTGAGTTCAAAGTATGGTCGGAAAGGTTGGGCTATGAAGGCCCGGGAATCATTGGAGGTTACGGCATAAGGTGGAACATTGCCTATGATAGCAGGAATCGAGCGTAAAACGCAAGGAAGGTAGGCCTGTAGTTCAATCTTGTGATTCCTTATTCCTGATTGACTTATTTATGTGGTTTCAGGTTGTCAATCAACTCTTGATCAACGAGTCCGAGAATGGGAACGGTCAATACTTCAAAGGATATGAATTCACATCCAAAGAATGGGAAAACATAAGAGTACTTAATCTCGTTCTCAAGGTAAGCATGATATTGTATTGATTGTATGATGGTCCTAGTCCAACTCCTCACATGCTCTTCGTCTGCTCTTATTCAGGAGTTCTTGCTCTTGACTAAGCGCATGGAACGTGATGGTCCCTCGTGCTCTATGGTACTGTATGAATATAGCCGACTTATCGAAACGCTTGAAGAACTCAAGATCGCAAGCAAAGGAGGAATCCTGGAGGGCATGTTTGGCCCCATGATCATAGTCGCTACCAAATATAAGAACCTCGCTCTCAAATGCGAGCCAATACTGATGGCCACAATGCTCCACCCAGCTTGGAGATTACTACTCTTTGCTAATAAATTCAACTCCCATCACAGCCTAGCGCAAGAGCTATTCGTCAGAAAATTCAAGGAGCATCAATTGTTGATCAAGCCACCAACCCCTTCCCCAACCAAGGAAAAGACCACCGCTGCCGAATCCGAAGATGATGGCTACAATTTCTACCCAACAACTACTGGGGGTGATGATGGTGAAGAAGAGTTGAATCGCTACCATGAAACCAAGTACTCGCTAGGAATCAAAGGTGATGTGTTGATGTGGTGGAAGGTAAGCTTATTTTGACATTACCTCTGCATCTTAACCTTATCGTCAAAGGCTGACCAATTCAATGCAGACTCAATCCCCTTCATTCCCAGTCTTATCTTCCCTTGCTAGGGACTACTTAGCATGTGCAAGCAGTTCAGCTTGTGTTGAGCGTACATTTTCGGCCGCTTCTGATATCTGTACCACAAGTCGCAGCTCTCTTGCACCTCGTACAATTGAGAGGTGCATTAGCAGTCACCTCTGGATTCGCAGCGGCATCAAGGCTGAAGGCGACTTTGAAGATTGTCTTTCTGTGTTTAAATCTGCTGACATGAGTCGCAAGTTCAGCACTATCTCTATAGATTAAATTAATAGTTATCTAACCCTTCCACTTGAGTCAGCTGTTATTTTCTTGCTTAGTTATGCTCTCCTACCTTTCCATGTTCCACCGACCCTTTCTATACAGAAATATATACATACAAGATGGAGCATTGTGCTCTTCCTACAATTTACAAATCATGTCACCCCCCCCCCCAAAAAAAAAAAGAAAATGATCGCTACACTACCGCTACATAGCGTTTGAATCGCTATTCAAGCGGAAAGCGTAGCGGTGATTCACAATTAGCCGCTAATATTAGTGCGCTAATATCCGAGTTTTTTTTCCCCAAAATCCGTCAGCGAAAAGCGGAGCGCCAAGGGCGCTACTGTAAGTGGAGCGATGTGAGGCAAATTTTGCTACGCTTTCGCTACCGCTAACGCTCGCTGAGAGTAGTGGTTGCGGTGTTGCTTGCACCATCCACAACAAGCTATGTAGCTGTTGATCACCAGCACAGAATGATCACTGCAGCCCATGATTTTTCGGGAAGGTAAGGGTAAGCATGAAAACCTTGACCCCTACATAGTAGAACAGTCCAAAGTCCAGTGAATGTTCTGCAAAATGGTTTATTATATAGCCAATCCACAAGATGATTGAAATTTCACCCTGGGATTGATCCTTCAACTTTTTATTTTTTTTCATAATAAACTTCCCTATAATCATGTAAGAGACTTTTTACCAAGTTTGTGGGTACATACAGCCAATCCAGAAAAGGATGGCATCCCCTCCTCGAATGCACCAGCTCACCTGTGTGCAGATACTACCACTTCATGACCCAGTAAGGTTTTGCTTTGAGCTCAGGATGTAAACAGGTTGGGTCCGGGCCCAAAAACAGTGCCCAAACCCAACCCAAAGCCTATGTATGTCAGGTTGGGTTGGGTCGGGTCAAACGTGAATACATTGGGTCAACAGTATGCATGTTGGGTTTGGGCCGACCCAAGTGTTATAGCCTTTGTAGAGCAAATATGATAAAAACTTACCTGCCCAAACCCAACCCGCTTGGTTTCCGGGTTGGGTTTGGGTCATGTGATTTTCTCACAAATTCTGCCCAAACCCGACCCATGACCCATTGGGTCTCTGGTTGGCTTTGGGTTGCCCCAACCCATTTACACCCTGAGTTTGAGCTAGAAGCTCTTATTATCCTTCAATCCAGCAGGGCACTTAACCTTACCCAGATCACAAATAGGATGGATCTGCAGAAGCGAGCTGGTGAATTTGAAGAGAAGATGCCATCCTTTTCTGGATTGGCTGTACCTGGTACTGAGGATTCACAATCCCACAGTAAAGTTTCATCCATCTTGTGCATTGCACTATGCCACATTATAACTAAAAGTAATGCTGCCTTTAGTGTAACTGACCCAGTATTTTTAAAATCATAATTAAGCTGGCATGATTTCTGATGAAATGATCCAAAGAAGAGAACTTTTTTTAACAGAATTTTGGGAAACAAAAAATTATTTTTGTTGGATCAGCTCAGAGCAGCGGTGGGCCGCTACGCTACGCTACGCTACGCTTTTGGCCCAAAAAGCGTAGCGTAGCGGCGCTTCTTTTTTCCTCAAAAAATTGTAGTGTTAGCTTGTTTTTAGCGGTTTTTTGCTACGCTACGCTGCGCTACAGCGCTTTTAGTGGAAAAAGCGGCCAAAAATCGCTAAAAAGCACTGTAGCGCAGCGTAGTGGGCCCTTTTTTGCGGCCCACACGCGTAGCGTTAGCGGTGTTGTGGCGGAATTCCGCTACGCTACGCTTAGCGCTAACAGGAATACCGCTGCGTTACGCTACACTAACCGCTACAGTTAGTGTAGCAGCCCACCGTTGCTCAGAGGGTTGTAAAAGGAAGGAGAGAACTGGTGGTGTTTTACTTAGAGGAGACTAGGCGTTAAGTAGAGATGGTTGCGGATAATCCGCTGCAGATATCCGCTATCTGATGGCGGATACCCGCCAGTGGGTGCGGATGCACCCTTCACCCTGAAATACTGGCGGGTATCTGGGTATCCCAAGGGATACCTGGTCCCAAGAGGCCACACTGCCGGGAGGAATCCCTCCTGGCGAGCTGGTTTTTAAACCAGCTCGTCGGGAGGGGTTCCACCCAACAAGCTGGTCTGTCTACCAGCTTGTTGGGAGGGGTTCCTCCCAGCGAGCTGGATTGTGTACCAGCTAGTCTGAAGGAATCCCTTCCAACAATCTGGTACACAGACAAAACCATCAGGAGGAACCCCTCCCGGCGAGCATCTACAGGCCAGCTCACTGGGAGCGGCTCCTCCCGGCAAGCTGGTTTTTAAACCAGCTCGGCAGGAGGGGTTCCTCCCAACAAGCTGGATTGTGTGCCAGCTTGTCGGAAGGAATCCCTTCCAACGAGCTGGTATTTTTACCAGCTTGTCAGAGGGGGTCCTTCTGACGGGCTGTTCTAACAATCAGATCGCCGGGAGGAGTTCCTTCCGACGAGCTGGTTTAAAAAACAGCTCGCAGGGAGTGATTCCTCCTCTTAAGAGGTGGGATAAACACCCTCTCTTCCGGAGGGGTTCCTCCCGACAAGCTGGTACACAATCCAGCTTGCCGGGAGGAACCCCTCCCGACGAGCTGGTTTAAAAACCAGCTCGCCGGGAGGAACCACTCCTAGCAAGCTGGCCTGTAGACGCTCGCCGGGGGGGGGGGGGGGTTCCTCCCAACGGTGTGGCCTCTGCCCCTCTAGGCCAAGGGGGCCAGGTTTTATTTATTTTTTTAAAAAAAAACACTCTCCTGGAAGAGCCGGCTGCCCCTCCACCCATTCAGAGGGCGGGTATCCGCGGGTATCCGCCGGCGGATGCGGATGTGTGTTTCCGCTGAAATTGTGAGCGGATATCCACATCCGCGCGGATATCCGGATTCAATTCAATCATCTCTAGCGTTAAGTAGTCTACACCCCAAGACTAGTTGGTCCCCATTGTGGCAATGCAGCCGGCACCCTCACAGCCCAGCAGTCCAGGGTTGCCCTGGGGACATAAGTTGGCAAGAGCATCTGATGACACCCAGCTGTGTTGTCCTGATGGCGAGGGTGGTATGTGGCCAACACGCAAATGGGGGAACCAGTTCTGGGCCACCAAGTCAAATTGGGCTGGGTATGTAGCACTGAAAAAAAGATTGCTCATACGAGGTTTGAACTTGAATTGAACTCGTATCCGACTTCCCATCGGCGGAATGGTCAAGTTAAGCAGACCGCCAGTGCGACTTGTCAGAGAACGGGATTTATGAAGTCCTCTGCCAGCTTTCCCGCCTGAGAGAGCTCTGATCCAAAAAAAAGCAAAGTCAAAGAAAAAAAGAAAAAAAAATGGCAATAGTTTTTTTTGAAGTGCCACGTGAACATCATCCTTCCCAATGGTATTCGAGAGAGAAAAAACGGGACAATTGACCTTGGACCCGGGTCGCAAGGATGATGCCACCCCAACCATAAACCTTCCCTGACGCCCATGGTCTCATGGCACCTTGGTTGTTGTCATCCCCATGGCACACAGATGACACCACCCCCCCCCAATTGCCGCCGGGAAGTGCGTGTTGTGGGTCAACCCGATCATGCCTCAGTGACACCATGCTGATCCAGAGCGCCGCCCTGACCGGCCTTGGGGCGCCTGTACAACCCTGGGTCCCGCTGGCGCCCTGGTGCGTCATGTGGTCGCCCTTCCAGCCCGGGCGCCGGCACGGCGGTTGGGATTTCTTTGATCTGTCCCGCTGTGTACATACAAGAGGTTAAACATGTGGGTGAGGAGAAAAATGAATATTGAAATGAATAACAATTTGACACATGCATGGAAAGATGACAGGAGCAAATAATCATTGATAAAGACTAGACCCAGGTTCAAAGACTACAGGGATTACAGCACTAGACAATGAAAAAAGGTGCCACTCAGACACTTACAAGACACAGTAAAATTAATAATTTTTCATTTAAATATCATTTGTTGAATTGCGCTGCGTGAGTCATCCAAATGAAACCACGCAGCAAATGTTCAATTGTCACTTGCATCAACAAACCTAACCCTAAGAACCACACAGACAACAAAACCAACAACCGCCATCATCAAATGTACCGGTCTTTTCTTCACGCAATCATATTGATAAAAAGTGAAGTAAAGACTGATCAGTGTCTAAATATTGCGTCCTTCATCCAAAAATCTCCTTGACTCTACAACTCTGCATTGAGCAGGTGTGTCTCATTACCGTGGTGGTAACAGTTGTCTCGTTGTGTGTCAAAAACTAAGACAAAATCTAAAACAAACTATAGGTCAGCAGCCTCGTCGGATTCTATCAAAAATCACATCATTAAATCAGAAAGGTGTGATAGAATGGTTTTTAGGGATGAGAAGAAAGAGACAAAATTCCAACAATCTCTTATTCATCATTTTCAAAGCTCCTTGTAGTTGCAAATCCACCTGAGTTCCAACCCATGACTGACAGTCTAAGATTTGGTTAGATGAGAATTGTATTTATTCCCCTTTTTACTTCAAACTTTGATTAAGATGCTTACATCAAAGCTAATGGTCTTCAAGGTGTCAGTAGTAAGTGCCTTTGGAAATTTGGTAGCTTTCAATATTGTTGTAGAGCCATGGGTTCAGTATCCCCTTGTGTTTATGGGTAGCAAACCAGACAAATGTCAAGTAGGCAGTCAGATTTTCCAATTAAGTATTGTCAAAGATTTGAGATGGTTGAGAGGTGCAAGGGTGGCTGTTGTTTTGGTTGGCCAGCCACTTCCCTTGAAATTATTTCTGTGACAAAGAAAATCAAAAGAGATATCAAGTGCAATTGAACTGAAACCAGGTAATCGGAGTATCTGAACCACTAGATGTTATGTAAGTGTGGTCCTGGAGCAGTCTGGAAATGCTTGAGAAGCAATCAAAATCATATTCTCAGTGGGATGAGACCAGCCTGCCTGTTCCAAGTTCCAAACTTCTTATAGTAATTTCTATATTTCCTCCTATCTTTCTCCTTTGTCTTCCATTCTCATTTCAACCCTTTGTTACCTATTTGTTTTCCTCTTTCTGTCCCTTCTCCATCTATCTTTTGGTGTCGAGAGTTCTCGAGCTCTGTCTTAGTATAATGTACTCTTGGCGACGACCCAACCAAAGACATAGCGCAAAACCATATTTATAACGGATATAGATTGGCAGTCAAAAACGTTGGATGTACTGGAGCTATCTCAAAGTGCGGTGTGAAACGGCGGAGCAGAAAAAGATGACAGACCCCAGCAGAAGTGTGAGTTTGCTATCTTCCCGTCGGACTTTGGGTAAAACTATCCAAACACAATACTGCCCTTCTGTGCGAAGTCTTTTTCGGTCACTGTCGCTAGTTAAACACCCAAGAACCTTTCCCGATATTCCTTCCTTGGACAACAACCCTGGGCATGTGTTCTTTTCGAGATTCAGCGATGATGCATCTCTGCAAGCGGGTCTTATTAGGCGGCTTGATAACTTTTCCATGGATGGGAACTATATTCGCAGATGAAGGCCATCAACAGCTGAGCTTTTTGCCGAACGCCCCTCAGACCGAGTCCTCGCCATCTCCTGGAGCAGACCACCCCAACATGATTTTTGCTTCGTTTGCCGGTCTCCTTCAACAGTGGCCGAATACGTATGCGTATAGTGGCCACTCGATCATTCCGGGGGTCATTCGAACGGGCACGTTATTATATCACGGAACGAATCACCATACCCCTCCACCCTCTGAGGGCATGAAATGGTTTGCCTTCGACCCGGAGTATAGCTACGTAATTCACAGTCGCAGGCTTGGCCAACTCGACTTGTACACATACGCAGTCACCCGTCCTCTTCGCATAATTTATCTCGATGGCCAGAGTGCTTCATTGGGCACACCTGGATTCATGGACAGTCAAAGTGTTCTGATTAACGGCACCATTTGGGGAGAACTTGGCGACGAGGGCAATTACATGGACGAGGAGTATGACCGCGCCCGTGAGCTTTGTAAGATCGGAATGGACTGGGGCTTCGAAGGAGTGGTGCGGATGAACACTTGTTTTGAGCTTTTGTGGTGTGATTTAACTCAGGGAGTCGAGTCAGTTTTGATGTATTCTTATTTATTCCTCAAAAGTTGTTTGCCCCTGTCACGCTGTCCCGGTGGCCTTTCGAAAGAAACAATCACGGAGTTACTGATTTCTTTTCTTCTTGTGCTTCGTACTGTAGGCTTCTTGGGGGCACAAACACCACCGATCCTTTTGATACTTATTATGAACCGGGCGACTTCCATGAGTCCAAAAAAGTCATTGAAACTCACAGCCCGGATACCCGAACAAATTCAAGCGCACCATTTGTCCAGAATCCATCAGATGTTATCAATCCTCTCTGTCCTAATGGAGTCCAAAAAGATTTTGAGCAGAAAATCGAGTTGAGTGTTTTTGCTTGTCATACTAGACCTTCTTCTTCTTCGACTAGCTTTCAAGGACTTGCCTGTCGTTGAATTATGACCTGTTCCTGTGTCTTAACTTCTCTGTTTGTGTGAATTTTGAATTGTGGCAGGGTTTGTGGAGCTAGCGCCTCGACAATCCAACTGAAGAACAATAGCGGCTCCATAAAAAGTGATGGTCCCAACGAAGCCTTGCTACAAATAGTCAGAAGAACTCGCGTCATTAACTCGCCATTTTACCTCAGAGCTCCCCAGTACTATCTTCGAGCAGCCAGCCGGAAATTCGGTTTTCCAGGTGAGGTAAGAGTGAGCCTGGATCCCAGTGGCTTCGTGAGCTTCTACGACCGAATAGAAAGCTTGAGCCAGAAGCGGCAAGCTGATGGGACCGACGTTGGCCCACGCCACGCTCACACATTGAAAGGGATCAGTTCGAGCGATGTGAAGAAAATTAAAGATCGCCTGCTTAATGTGCTCGCCCGTAAGATTAAGAATGCGGAAGGCTGGCGGACAGAATCGGATCGACTCGATTGGAGGACAGCAGTCGAGACAGTCGTTCAAACATACAGTCGACCACTAATCGAACTTGACTACCTCCTCAAGAGGGATGACATGAGCGCCATCGACCGCGCGGCCGAAGTGCGCGGCTTGACCTACGGCATGATCTTACCGTACCTCGATTTCTCCACTTGGAATATCGATGATCCAGCTTGGATCGATGGAAGTCTCGAGAAGTGTGCTAGAGGTTTTACTGCCGGAACTTACCGTGCCTCAGATCTCACTGAATCTATAGAAGTCATCATAGGTGCCATCGAGGGTACTTTGTCTCGATTGTGCAGCACGATTTTGAGTATCTTTTCCCAAACCATCCAATTGGCAATCCCCATTGATTCTCTCATCAGTCCCGATTCAAGATTGGAGAGCGAAGCCAACTCACGCACTTTGGAGTGGCGAAAACAAACCGATGAATTGATGATGTGGCTGGGCTGGTCAACTTGGGGACAGTGTAATCCACCCTGCAAACCTGATGTAAGCACTGTTCCTCCTTATTTCTATTACTGCTTAAGATAATCACTAATGAGAACGGAAGGAGGTTTTGCAGGAAATTTGTCTGCCTCCGTTGTGGCCCATCTTCTGGATCAAAGGATTTCCAAAGATGGAAGAGTTTCCGATCTGTAGTAATGTCTCTGGGAAGAGGTCTTAATTTCTAAGTATAGCTAGCTATTAGAATCTTCAACCAATGTTTTGTAAGCTTGTTTTTGTGAACCAGAAAACTTTGCAATCATGATTTTATCAATTGGCCACCCGAAAATTTGCAACATATGAAAGGTAAAAAATTCTTAAGCAAATCATCATGAATTTCCCAGCTAGTTTTAGAGGGACACTCTTCTGTGACTGTCAGAAGGTTCAACCTATCTTTTCAGTAAGGCTCTACACATCTAAGTCGTTGGGCCACCATTTCTTGTCAGGCTCACTATTTCGGCTGACTGGGCACTACTCTACCCTTGCACATTGATTTTTTCTTAGGCTCTCCACTCCCTGCGCGCTGCTGCCGACAACTCAGGACCCAAATTGGAAATTAGGTGCTCTAATAATAAGGTTCAGGTACATGATTGAAAAAAAGTAAGTTCAAGTTTCAGGAGTAGCGAAGAAGAAAGCCCACTGCGTCAATAGGTATGTACGCAAGATGTTGGAACATATTTATGATGAAGGAAAGAAACAAGCCGGGCCGCTTGGTCAAATAAAGGGGATTGGTTTGGGAAGGTCAAACGCTTTGTTGTGTCTTCCAAGTCACCAGAGGAACACGTCTCATGAAGACCGTGTCTACCAGACCGCCTCGCTTCGAAACCGCGTATTAGTCTGACCCGACCTTCGAACGTCTGGTCATGTAGTGGGATGCTCTCCAACAACGCCAAGCCGTGAAGCGGGTACGTGATTGAAAAACCGCGCAATCTCCAACGTGGTAGTGTACGCTCTTGAATTCCCCCTCCAGTTTGGGCTCAAAAATCCCCCCTGTCCACAGTTTGACCTTAGCCAGTAAAACTTACACCTGTTCGCAGTTTGGACTTGGCCAGTACCGTATTCTAGTCTCTATTGCAAGCATGAAAGACAAGTTTCGATTTGTTCTCTTACTATGGCTTGAAGTACAATTCCGGTTAGTAAGCCTAGGGCCGCCGCCAAAGAAATCGTCAGTGATATATCCGGAGGCATGGATTGATACTAGGTTCAGTGGCGATACCACTTCTGGTGTGTTCGCCTCTGGAAACTCACTGACTGTTCTGAGGATTCTATGCAGGTCACTCGATGGATTTTATACAGCACCACTTGACCCAGGTTTGAGTCTGACCAACTATGATGCGGGGCGCTTGGAATCAACAAGACCACAACCAATAGAAATCGACTTCCTTAGTGAGCCTTCTATTAATCACAACCCGCGGTCTATTCCGAACTATGTCAAATCGCACCAAGCGCATATTCTCTGATGTTACATATTTCACTAGCTTCCTGGGGAAAAAGGGTGCCCGAGGAAATGCCCGAGGGAAGTGGATCAAAAAAGAGGCCTCTCTCCGAAGATAGCGATCAACTTCCAGAAATTGAAGAGCAATCCCATCATGATCCCAATCGAGACAAGCGACTGAAAGTTGACCCAACACAAAGTACGACAAATTTGGATCTATTCCAGCGATATCATCGAGAGCTTTTGAACCTTCTGAGTCAGTATTTATTTATGCGTCTCTTTCCTCACCCACTGCGCGTGGGCAGAGTCTGCTAAGCTACTTTTGCTCGCGGCTGTCACTTGTAGATCGCGTACCTCCGCCGCTCGGTTTACGTTTTAGAAGTGAAAAATATTCGGCGATGCCTGGGGAATCCATCGCGAAAAATGATCTACTTCCATCTCTTCACGTAGAAGATCCAAACACACATTTGATCCGAAAACCTCATCAAGAGCCCTTCGATATTCTGAGTCAGTACTCGTGTTTGTATTTCGTGAATAGGCACATTTGGTCCGAGCCAGCTGAGATTCTTACACTCCTGGTTATCATTAACTACAGATCGTGTACCACCATCTGTTAGTTTACCGTCACGCTTGAGAATCCAAAAGTTTCGAAATACCGTGAGAGGATCTGGATCCGAAAAAGATTCACATTCAACTCTTCATGAAGAAAGGCAGAATATAGTACCACCATCAGGTAGCACTGCCAACTCCTTAACTGGAGATCGAAGGTATGATCCGGGTGCTCTGTCGCACGACAATGTCATTGATTTGACTGGGCAATCAGGTGAAGAACCCAACAGTGAAAGTTCAAGGACATCGGAAAGTAGTTTCCGCGACAATAGCCATCGGGAAGAATCAATTCCAATCCCAAAAGAAATAAATCCTAGTTCAAGAGAAAACATATGCTATTTGGAAGATGTCGAACCCGCTTTTTGGGCTTGGTTGTACGGCTTCAAGCTTTCCCTCACTGATTCACTTCACAAAGAACTGATCGGTGATCAAGAACATGCTGTCTCAAGTTTCATTAGATCACTTGCCTTAAATATGAACTCACTGATGGATCGACGAGCTGAGCATTTGATTGAAGAATTGACGAGTCAAGAATCAAACAATAGTATCAAGGAATTTGCACATCTTCTCTGGTGTATAAACTCAAGATTTATCAGATACTTTAAACCAACTGACAAGCATTACTTTCGGGAACAGTTTTCAATTCATCAATGGATTCTTGATCAGACGGGAAAATTTAGAAATTCTGGTACCGAGATGAGACACTCTGATATCGATGCTTCAGCGAAGGATCTCACAAACTTGCTCAAAACAGCCCTGGCTTCGAGATACTCAGCGCCAGAATACTTCAGCTTTGATCTTCGCTTTAATCAAGTCACCTCAGCAATTTCTCCAAATCAAATATTGATGACAAGAGCTGTGGTCAATTTCTTGGTATCTTATTACAAAGCCCAAAATCCAGCCAAATGGAAAGCCCTGTATCCGAAGGACAAGGATTTCGTTTATTCCCTGACCAAAATTTTGAATTTTGAGGCAGATCATTCTTATGTTTCTAAGGAGAGGCAAGAAGTAGACCGAGCAAGTGAATCTAGCGGTTTATTTCCATGGTCAAATCAACTGCCCAACAAATCAGTGTATAATTCAAGATCAGACAAATCAACTTCTTTCTTTGGAAGTAAATCAATGGAAACCAAAATCAGAGTGGAGAAAATACCGACACAGCTTGAAGGTGAATCTGGAATGATTGCCAACTCTATACCAAGAGATATTCTTCCCTTGGTGCAAAATCCTGAAAAGCTCTGGGCCTTAATCTCATTGATTAAAACTAACTCTGGCAGGCACCTTGGAAAGCCCTTGACTAGACCAAAAACACAACTAATTCTTGAAAAGCTAGACACTTGGAGATTAAACAAAAGCAGGAGTGTTGATAAACTTTCCAAAAAATACACTGATTTATTTGAGAAGAATAGATTTATCAATCAAGTGAAAAAGATGCTTGACCTAATATGGATGATAAATACAAGATTGATTGAGAATTTGGGCCAGGAAAATTCTGGGGAGGTCTTCTTGAGAGAACAGCAACAAATGCAAAATGAGTTTTACACATTACTTACTTTCTCATCTCATTCTGGATCAACTCACCTTTATTCCCAACAACCACAGAGGAAAAATGCAATGCAAATGCAACAAAAGATTATCAAAGCTCTGAACTACAATAAATACCACCATGTATACAAGCATCAAAATAGTCATGTCAAAATCTCTAAGAAGGACATCAAGATGACAGAAGCAGCAGTAGCAGTGATGATTTCATATTATTGGAATAGTAGTCCTTCAAAGTGGTTACAGGTTTTTGTAGATGAAGAAAGATTTGTTTTACTTTTAGCTTCCATAGAGACAAGACTTGCTAATCATCTGGAATACAAACAGCTTCAAGAAAATCACCTACCAGCTATTAGGGAATTGTCACTTCTTCCTTGGGACAAATATTTCATACCAACTTACAACTATCATACCATTATAAAAAAATCAATTCAAGGCTCTTCAATCTCTCAATTTGAATTCTCTTCAAAGGTAGAGGAGATCAAAGATACACCCATTTCATTTTCTTAAGAATTTCCTAATGACAGAAATCAAGTAAAAAAGAACTGTTGAAAATTCACTCGATCACTCTCTTTTCTTTTTACATATTTTCTTATTCATTATTACTGTTCTTTCTTTATTCAAAATGCTGCTCCCACATCTTGACCATATTGTATCTAGACTACTTAAATCATCTAGATGCAAAGAAATTACACTCATCGGTTCTTTATTATTTTTTTGACCGTTCCTGAAGGAAGCACTTTAGCCCTTCCCTCAGTCTATCTGTGAGCACTTAAGCCCTTGCAACAAGAAAAAAAAAAGTATTTTTCAGGCCTTTCCGCCTAAAATTCAACACGATTAACAGTCGAATACCGACCTCGATCTCTTGAATTAACAATCCCTCTTATCCCTACAAATCATCCATCACATTCCTTCCCCAACAAACACCTCAATTCTCTATCCTCAAAAGATCCCTTCTCGTTCAAACTCAACATGGCAACCGAAGTAGTTCGCGAATCCAAAATACTCCTCACTCCTGATAACTACGCTCTTTGGCTGCTCCCCATGAAAGCCAAGCTCCACAAGGCAAAATCGCTCACGATTATCACCGGAATCCATACCTGTCCAGACCCTGAAACGGACAAAGAAAACACCAAACTCTATGTCAAACTCAACGAAGATGCCTATGCCGAGATTGTTCAACACTTGAATCAAGAAGTGCTTGCTTATGTCAGTTCCACGCAATCCGAGACGGACGAATTTAACGGGTATAAACTCTGGCAGCTTCTCAGAAAAAAATATGCCGGTAACGATCTCACTTCTCGAACAACTGCCCTTAAGAAATACCTTGCGATTGAATACGACTCGTTCTCGTCGTTTCTCCCTCTTGTTCGATCGGCCAACCAGAAGATTGTGCTCTCCAAACTCGCTCTCGATGATCAAGTAAAGACTATCCTAATGCTCGACAAACTTCCTCAAAACTTTCACTCGTTTAAAACAAACATATCGATGAATTTTGAATCACTACCGTTTGACGAAGTACTCAAGAAACTCGAGGATTTCGCTGCTCAAAATCAGTTAAATGAGGACAAGAAATCATCGATCCCAACTGAAGCAACTATGTTTACCCAGTCCTCCAATCCCGAGATCATCTGTTCTCATTGCAAGCGAGGATTCCGAGCATGTTCCCACTGTTTCAAGAGTGGCCATACCGAAGACAACTGTTTCCAAAAACATCCCAATAAACGAGCTCCAAAGTCGGTCACTTCCTCGTCCAAACAACACTCATCCCATGTGACTCGATACACCCAGGAAGATGAAAAATACCTACAACAAAAATATCCCGACCTCCACCTTTGATAATCGATCGATCTCGAGTTCAGGAGGGGTGTTGAAAATTCACTCGATCACTCTCTTTTCTTTTTACATATTTTCTTATTCATTATTACTGTTCTTTCTTTATTCAAAATGCTGCTCCCACTTCTTGACCATATTGTATCTAGACTACTTAAATCATCTAGATGCAAAGAAATTACACTCATCGGTTCTTTATTATTTTTTTGACCGTTCCTGAAGGAAGCACTTTAGCCCTTCCCTCAGTCTATCTGTGAGCACTTAAGCCCTTGCAACAAGAAAAAAAAAAGTATTTTTCAGGCCTTTCCGCCTAAAATTCAACAAGAACTGATATTAATGCCCTGCATAAGAAAAAAAGAGACTGACCAATTTTGGATACAAAGAATCAGAATAAAATTTGGTTTAATATGGGCCACACCAGGAAAAATCAAATGTAATTTTCACATTTATTAAATCAAAAAATCACTCCTTCCCTTGTGCAAGAAATCAACCCACCTTAGGTTTTATGTTAAGCACAACATTCCTTTGTTATGAGAAAAAAATTTCTGCTTCAAGTACAATATACTGAGATTACAGAATTTACTTGAGGATAGAAGAGTGGGGGTTTTGCTTGAATTTGTGATCCCAGTTTAAACAAATCACACAACATTTTGGATCTGGATAAGAAAATGAGGACCAATTGCAAAATAACTGTGTATTTTTTGTGCTTGGTTGGTCTTATCTTTAAAACCAACTTATCACACAATTTGAAGAATAGTCACATGAATGGTGGAAGAGCAATAGGGGGGGGGGTATCAAATATGACCAAATCCACCATTATTTAAGGGGCTTGGCTAATTGACTCCCAAAAGTTGGAGAGTCAACTCCCAAACCCCCAAAACCCCCAATTTTGGGAGTCCATCCCAAGAAGACAGGTATGTTCTTCATGATAGAAATTCAAGTCTGATACAAGGGAACTTAAAAATTCAAATAGAAAATATACAGATCATTTGAATTCTAAATTTTATTCATCTGTTTGATACATGTCAATAGTATATCATCCCACATGAGGTAAAATGGACTTTGTTAGGGCACATAATGGCACAACAACTAATGGTAGACCTAACAATAAATCTGTTTGAGAATCAGAGTTTGGGTTCAAAATGTTTTGTTCAGAAGATAAAAAACTATAGATATGGACTGTATGAAATGGGTATGAAGTGGACCTCAGCTACAGGTCAGAATTCAATCTGGCACTGTCTCAGTATATCAGGTTTAAGAACTGATATGTTTCACTATCCTCTTATCTTATCAGACAGGTACCGGACTCTGAGCCTAAGTTTTCTAGAAACAAGGGAGTGAATTTAATTTCAAAGCCAGAAAGTCAAGATTTAAACTCTCAATAGGGGTTATCAACTATAGCGAAATCCACCATTAGAAACCAGTCAATTTTCCCAAAAAAATATTTTTGTATCAAAGGGCCCCAAAATGGGTTAAATGAAGAACTAACATGTTTAAAAAACGTTGGATTTTTTCAAACCAGTCAATTAAATAAGAGGCTTGGCTAATCAACTCCCAAAAGTTGGAGAGTCGACTCCCAAACCCCCAAAACCCCCAAAACCCCCAATTTTGGGAGTCAATCCCCCAAACCTGTCAGCAGGTTTGGGATTCAGATCCCCAACAAATTTAAATAAAAAAAACTGAAACCCCCAAAGGGGGAGGGAGTCGATGCCTCAAAACCCACTGGGTTTTGGGGGTTGGCAAACCAAAAACAGCCCCCAATGGCCAAGAGGGAATCGCTCCCAGCCATCAAGAGCACACTCTCA